CCCGATGCCCAACGAGGCGTAGTTGTCCTTGGTTCGCCGTTGGGGCACCCGGCCTTCGTCCAGGCATTGGCTGAGGAAAGGCTGCGCACCGAGCAAGAGCTCCTCGACCAGCTGTTCAAGCATCCCGACCCTCAATGACGGGGCGGCTTTTTCATTTGTACGCCTCACCTCGCGCTGGCCGCTAGCCATGCCATTCGCACCATGCCCCCCTCGGCGTTTGCGGCATACGCCCGGGACATATGATGATGCCATCTTTTTTGTTTTGCTGCAGAACTTGCTCGGAGGAACGGGCGACGCAGACGCCACCCATGTACACGCTTAGCAAAGCGAAATAATCAGAGGGAACACTTGGCTTTTGCACAGCTTGGAATAAAACTTACTTTAAATCTGAATAAGTTTTGATGATGGATTTGGTCAAAGCCCAGTCAATGCTTTCGGTGTCGCTTTCGCCCATCCGAGTCCGGTGATGAAGACTACGGTCCTATAAGGACATGGGGGATACATAACACGCATTCAAGCAGATTCGTCACTGTACGACTTGGACAAATTCGTTGACGAAATCATTTGCTCTGCGTTTCCATGCGCTGTGTGCGGCTACATACATCCAACACACAGTGTCGGGAAATTTTAACTTGCAGAAAGCTCGGAACTTATCATCCCATCGGGTCAGTGGGCGTCCTTGTCGGCGCTTGGGTGCCAAAGAAAAGTTGTCATGCCAGTTACTCGGGATTCCATGTGACCACACGTGTCACCCAACCATTGGTCTGCGCTACTCTTCCGGCGAATGAACTGGCCAATAGTTTTTGTGCATGCCACGATGGGTGCTTCGATGGGGTGCTGATGTAAAGCCTTGGCCACCCGGCTCTTCATGCGACTCACGGTGTCGTGCCAGCTCTCGTCTTGAATTCGGATCCACCCAACCATTGACCGCAGCATCCGCTTGTGTAGGGAATCGAGTTTGGATAGCTGCACGCCGGTTAAGGCCAATGTGTGCAAGCCGAACAATATGGTCTGCGTTACGACGGCGTCAAAAAACTTCATGCGAAGTTTGATGGACACATGCTTGTTGACCAGGACACAGCGATGTCGATGGAATTTGTTCCACGCCAGTTGAACATGATGATTGAACTCAACAACGTGTCTCCGAACCAATGAACCGCACAGGCTGCGTCCCAGATACTTGTGTGTCTGATCACCTGTGAGTACTTGCGCCATTTCGCCACACACTTCCACAAAGAGCGGTGTAGTCAATGACCGAGTTGAACTTGGTCTTCGAGGAGCTGCCAACTCGTGCACAGGCGATTCCATCATGAAAACATGCCCATCGGCCACCCAGCCTACGTTG